CGTTGGAGGTTGGGCTCTGGGGGGTGGGGGGGGTGGGGGGGGCGCGGCCAGGGGTGTGTGGTGAATGTTGGTTAGTGTCGAAGTGTATATCCTCTTGATCCACATCCACCCTCGACGTGTGGTCTCCCTCAGGTCTTTTTTTTGTAAAATTGTGCCTCCTTTTCTCCCAGCGATCGATTTTTCGTCGGTAAAAAGAATTTTAAAACATAGATGATTCGATGCAGTTTTTGATGCTGATTGCGAACATGCTATCTATTTTACTTTTTAACGAAACCATAGTAATAAAAATCGCTAAATACAAGCACATTTCTCATGCGTTTATAGGATTTTGCCACCAAATGAGAAAAAACTCAATTTTCTCAACAATATAACAAAATTCGAGAAAACTAGATAGGTACTTTTGTTGCTCATAATCTGGCGATTCTAATGAGATAAGACATTTCTTTCTATTTCTTGTTAAAAAAGAACTAGATAAGTTTACAAAATACTCACTAATACATGATATGATGCATGTTGAAACTATCTATACTGGATCGAACTTTTTTAACATTATCAACTTTAACTTCTATCAAATAACATTTTTCTAGTTAGTTTTTGATGCTGAATGAGAATAAAATGGTTTCATAAAATTTGAAAACAATAACGTAATTGAAATTTGACAATTTCTATGAAAAATCGAATTTATAATTGAAAATGCTGCATTTACAGTTATTCAAGTTTTTGACATTTTTTTCAGCCAAACACTGGTTGAATCGGAATAAAAACTATATATTCATGACCAGCTCGTTAAGCTCTATCACGCCATATATAAATGAATAAAAAAACTCCACTTGAATTTTACATTTCCCACACCTTAAAAAGAAAGAAGACATGTGAATATTGTATGGGCAATTTTCGATATATTTCTATGTGCATCGCATAAGACAAAAAGGGTTGGTACACGTGTATAGAAAAGAGAAAAAAAAAGAAAATATTATTAAAAAAAACATGTTTATTGATAGAGGAATATATTTTGTGTTAATAAATAAATATTAGAATGCTCTTGAACGGCACCGTTACTTTTTCGATATTATATGAATTTGTTTTCAATAACAATGATTAGTTTTAAACCAATTAACCGATTTTCATTGTACATATTATCTTCTATTTAACATATTTAGGTAGATAAATAGAATATTATTACGTCATATAAATGATGAATCAGAATATGTCTCACCAAACAAAATGCACGAATACATTGCGGTTAACGATTACAGAATGAAGTTCATATTTTTTAACTTCATTGTATTCTCTCATTAGTTATTTCTAGGGATACCAATAACGTCAATAACGTATGTTGTTTCATAATGCGTATGTACGAGATCTTAAGCCCACTTGTACTTTATTCCTAAACCCTAACTGTGCTGGTATTGATGGCACGCTCCCATGATATTCCTTCCTTCTCTCTCTTCATTATTCTAATCTATGTTCATATATCTCTCTCTCTCGTATATATATGTATGTTATATGTGAACTTGTTACATTCTGAAATGTGAAGTAGCTCAATAAGCATCATCGCCGAGAGTGGCGTCAAGCTATTCCATTTCAGTTTTTCATTACATACCGAACACGGTAGGGTCGTTGTCGTTACATGTCAATCTTGGCAAGAAGGTGACAAACCATCACATTTTATTGTTACACTAACTATCTCCAATAATTCATCCTTTTGCAACAACATAACTCCATATATAGAGTAATTATAAAAGCTATACAATTTATAATGGAAAAATCCCATGAAACGATGAAAAATCAAAGAAAAATCCATAGAACAACATGAAAGAAAGAAGAACAGAATGAAAGGAAAAAAACCCGTTATATATGACAGGAAAGGAACAGTCGGTGACGCATGACTAAAAACAGGAGAAAGGAAAGAGAGCATAAATATGTATATTTCTATAGGTAAAGAGGAAAATTCTTATGACTGCATCCGAAGAAGATGTAGGTCATAATAGTATGTATTCTATCTTTACCACATGTACAGATATTCTAGCGAAAAATGTACAAAAACAATCTATAGTTAATTATGCCGACGAATCAAAATATTCAAAACAGGTATGATTTTTTTTCGATTAGTTTATGTTACTTATCAATAATAACAACGCATTATGTTTTTGTACTTGATAAAAAGTACATAACAGGATTTACTCCCGTTTTCATCGATAAATTAAGAATAATTAATTAATTTTCTCTTTTCATCGACACGTTTTTATCCCCTTTTCATTGACATTTTATTCAACAATAATTTAGACAACAAAATCATATTATATTATAGAAAATGATTGCAATAACAGAAATAAGAACATAATTCAATAGTTCATAGGATTATGGCAACAAAATACTATTTTGATCTTTTATCAATTAGTTTACTGATTTTATTGAAACATTCATCTAATAATAAAGAACCTTTTTCATAAATCCAGAATTTGTTGTTTTCGACAAATTAATTTTTTATCCCGTAGAAACTTGTTCATATTGCTTTCAACTTGTTTGATTACAGCTATGTTGAACACATAATCTTTTTTCATTCATCAAGAACCACGTATAAATTTGCATTGAAATTGACAACATTTGAATTAAGTCAAATGGCTCCGTAATGTCATCATTGTTTTGTTTATTTCTTTCTTCAAAGCAAAACTTCTTTAGTAAAATTCCGATATTATTCAGAAAAGTGTCGATGAAAAGGGAAAATTAAGAAGGTGTCGACGAAAAGAAAAAAAGAAGAAGGTGTTGACGAAAAGGGAAGATAACCATGACGGTATATTTCTAAAAATGATACGATGTCTAAATAAATGCAGGCGATACAATCAGATATAAATTGAGAGAAGAACAAGCAAAAAATTTTATTAGAAGAAAAATTGATTTTTCAAGCTCATAATTCAAAGTAAGAGTGTGCATTGAACTTGAACCAATGTAAATTGTCGTTAATGTAAATATTTTAGAAACAAAAAGCAATGTTAAAATTTATTGTGGCTTTGTTGATTGGATTGTCAATTCTACCAAAGACAAGTAAAGAAAATTATTTACATAAATGTTATGTAATTTTCGGCATTTTTTTATTAATTGAGTAGGTTCTTGTGTAGCTCAATGGGGTCAATGCGATGGTATTGGTTATACAGGTTCAAAAGATTGTTGCGCACCGTGCGTATGCCAATATAGTAATCCTTGGTACTCACAATGCTTGACAGGATCAACACAATCAACAGCAATATCATCAAGCTCTAGTAGTTCTGTAAATCGTAAGTATATCAAGTTTCATTTATATAATGAACATCTACTTCATGAAGTGTAGAATATTTAAAAGACAGAATTTATCACCATATGGCTTATTTATACAGCAGCTAGCTCAGATATAAAACCAAAAATTAAGAACAGCTGAAGTCTTTTGCTCTTTATTAGCACGTGATATTTCGGTATCTATATCACAGATACCATCATCAGACGAAGAAATCACCAACATAGACACCACACACATCTATCTCAGATTCAATAAAACCCACACCCACACCCATATATGTTTGTTAGAATGACAGATCTTAGTAAGAAACAATTTATTAAACTGTTTATATTTCATCGAAAAAATAAATTATCCCGTGTTTATATAAGCAAACTATTTCATTGATTGTTCTTTTTTTTCTGATTTTTCTTTGTTTGTTTGTCTTTACAGAAGGTTGTAGTGCTCTGTGGGAGCAATGTGGTGGTATTGGATGGACTGGCCCAACATGTTGTTATCAATCAACATGTGTTGTTAGTAATCCATATTATTCGCAATGTTTACAATCAGGAGCATCATCTAGTTCTTCATCTACTTCAAGTAGGACTAGCAGTAAAACAACGCCGTCTACAAATGATAATCGTCAACTCGGTGTTACCACTCGTTATTGGGATTGCTGTAAACCAAGTTGTGCATGGCCAGGTAAAGCTTCTGTGACAAGTCCAGTTAAAACATGTGCGCAAAATGGTATTACATCTGTTGATGCTAATACTCAATCAGGCTGTAATGGTGGTACTGCTTATATGTGCAATAATCAACAACCATTTAGTATTAGTTCAACTCTTTCATATGGTTATGCTGCTGCTCATATTGCTGTAAGAAAATAAAAAGATTGAATTTATGTTTTGAAATCAATAATATACGTATATAATATTGTTTTGTATTAGGGTCAAACTGAAGCGAACTGGTGTTGTGCTTGCTATTCATTAATATTTACATCAGGACCTGTTATTGGTAAAGAATTAATAGTTCTAGTAACAAATACAGGTGGTGATCTTGGTAATAATCATTTTGATCTTCAAATGCCTGGTGGTGGAGTTGGTCTATTTAATGGATGCTCAAGTCAATTTCCTGGTCCATATTCATGGGGTCAAACATATGGTGGTGTTAGTCAAAGGTCAGATTGTGCTAATTTACCAGTTGTTATTCAAGCAGGTTGCTATTGGCGATTTGATTGGTTTATGAATGCTGATAATCCAACGATGAGTTTCAAACAAGTATCTTGTCCATCTGTTCTTACTGCAAATACTCAATGTATCAGAGTTTAAATCAATACAATAAACATTGTTTTCAGAGACATATATGTAGTTATTCAAGATTATTTTATCAAGAATTGTAGCTAGAATCATAATCAATATGAATAAATATTAGCTACTCTCACTCATTGTTCACTGGTATTACCAACAAATACAATTTTTTTTCGATCATTGAGATCAATCAAAGAGATCACTTTCGAATTTTTCATATGCTATGCATATGTTTGCGAGCGAAATTTCAATTCTATGTAGTTTTGATCGGACAAAATTAGTAGTCGACTAAAGATAAATTTATACAGTTATGTGTTTTACTGAAAGAGGAATTAAATGAAAAAAAGAGAAAATTTTAAACATAGTGATTGTATCGATCAGCAGTATAAATGTAGATGTATGTATCACAATCTAATAAAAAAACAACGTTTAAATTGGATTCAATAATTGATCACACATACAATTGTAAAGGCAAGTGTGCTGCAAAACAATGCTTATGTAAAAAGAAATAGAAGTTTGTTGTTCGAAACAATGTCATTCCAAGCAAGGTGATTCTAAAAATATGGATGAATAGACTAAAGTATTTTGACGTGTAAAGTGTTTACGAAAATTAAAAAAAAACATATTGTGGAATAAAATTAGTTATTCTATTCAGATTTTATTTATTTCGATTGTATGACTTTACCTTTAGTCATATTTTAATTTTGCCCCAAATACATTTATAATTATATGCAGATTCGTCATTCGAGTTTTTAAGATAAATTATAATTGAGATAATATCCTTAAGTTTCATTATTGCATTGATATGAGTCAAGTTAGGGTAATATGTTTAGTAAAACAAAACGTATATTAATTTGAGCTGTATCAATAAGTTTCGTGAACTTATCGAAACAAGAAATGTATAATCGTAAGTTAATTTAATTGAGAAGTATCAAGTTTTGTTTATTATGAGTTATAACAATCAATAAAAAGAAATGAAAGGTAAAACATCAACTATTTGAAATTCACTCAAATCTTTTATTTATCACTTCTTGTTTCGAAATTATTTGATAAACTCTTTCCATAGATGTCTTCTTGCCACGTATTACCAATTGTGTAATACAAATAGAAGGTCAAGGTCAAGAACTTGTTTTACTGCTGGAAAAAACAGAGTAATTCACTGTAAACTAAACTTTTTTAAAGAAAAAAAAAACAAAAAATATATGGATAGATAGATAGATAAATATATCAATATATCGTGATGACTCATATAGCAAAGAGAAAGAAGGATGGATGTGGTTGTGAGGTGTGGGTGGGATGTAGGTGGGTGCGAGTGTAGGAGGATGTGATTATGAATGACGGTTGAAGCGGTACTCACACCCACCCTTAATGTTAGCGATTTAGGTCGAAGAAGATTATCTGAATCACAAAATAAAGGACGGGGGCGTATAAGGGTCATTTTTGGGCCCTCGTCAATTTTGGTTGATTCATAGTTTACTAGATGCAGAATTTCACGAGGAATCGTTTGGTATCAAAATAAAGCTATTTCAGA